CACCTTCAAAATTTCAAATGCCTGAAAGGTTACTAGGAAAATAGGGCAGGGGGGAAGGGGGAATTTTGAAGCAGCTTTGAACTGATGGACAGATAAGACCAACCTGTACTATACTGATAAACTTCAATTGTCCTGTTGTACATCTCACACATGGCCTGCATCTCAATATGGTTTCCATGGCAATGATTTTCTCGTTTACGTTTGATGTAACTTTTAAAGTCTTCAGTGACGTACTGAGAGAAGTAGTCTTCATTCTTGAACTAATATCAGACAAAAAGAAATGTTCAACTATGAATGTGTTGCAATTGTATACATCAAATTACAAAGGTTATGGTCCCCATAACACAAGGGAGAAAAAAAAGGTATAAGTAAAGAGCTGATCCTTGCAGCTTTATCCTTGCAGCAAAGCTGCAATCAATGATATAATAGAAAAGAAACCTTAAATTCAGGCTTCAACAGGATCCCATTTTTTTAAACTTTAATTCAAACCCTTCACTCACAAGATCTCAATAGTTGTTGTTGTTACTGTCTGCCATAAAATTCTAACAATGCGAGTTTTGGGAATTTGGTATTAGATCAATTGGCAATCCCACAACTCATATTTTTTGTATTCTCATTGCTTGTCTCCTTCATTTTGTATTGATAATATAAGGCAAAATTGTATTGACCCAGGCCTCGACACTAGTGGTAGCCCACTAGCCACAGACTAGTAGAAATTCCGTTTTGATTCCGTTTTGGTTTTGATTTCCACTGACTAGTTTGGCTACTAAACAAACTGAAATTGTTGTAACATCTAAGATGTCACTTGCCACTTGGCTAGTAAGTTGAAAAGTTAGTGTTGAGTCCTGCTGGTCACTGATGGGAATTAAAGGAGTTAAAGATTTCTAACAACCTGAAACAGCCAAAGTTCAATGATTGCTAACTACTCACTCTGTTCTGTTTAGGGTTTGACAATAAACTTAGGACAAAATTTTACTAAATCCGTATGTAGTCAATACTACTACACCTGAGTTATTGTGATAATAAAAAAAAGTAAATATAGGTTTCACTCTAGAAAAGCTGCATGTATTCGAGTATTTGGTGAACTTTCGACAACAAATGCTGTTCTGTGTTTATCGTGCGTAAATGTAAAGTTACTTGACCCTTGCAGATAGAGTTTATCCATGTTCACTTACTGTGTAATAGCAAACAAATATCTCAGAGGATAGCCAACCTCCAGGTCTGAAGGCAGCCCTTAACATTTTTCAAGGCTTCCACAAGGATTTCAATAACATTTCCCTTTAGCAGCTGCTCATGGTGTTAAAGGCCACTGTATGGTAAGATGAGATCTAAACACGAGAGCCTGTTCACAGGCTACCACTATAAACAGATGGCAGTGAGAGGTCTTACAAGTGGTAGTTGATCAACATCAACTGGCTTTTACTGAAACACCTTCCTGGGATAAAATTATAATTACAATGCACCCAACCAATGCATTAAAAAAAGCCTTTTATAGGTTAAATTCAAAACTTTAATTACCATGTAGTCCATACAGTGTTTTCTGACCTCGGAGTGCCATTCTTGGTCACCATACACATGTTCAGCTGTAGAGGGGCAAAAAATATATGTACAATATTAGAACATACTCTGTACCATACAGGTCACCAGTCCTTTGTGCTCATTGGCTAGTTTGAATGTGATTAGCAACTACTGGTAGTCATCGCTAAGGAGCCAATAGGAACCAAATGATTTTTGGTTTAAGTGTGGTATATACTATTATTAATAATAACAATTATACAACTCAGTGTCAGCAAAAGCAGTGGATATTTATCCCACTCCTTAATGGCTCAGTAAATATTCACCTCCACTTCAGTGAGTTATTAATTACTCCATACCATCATTTAAGTCTGAGTCTTTCAAGACAAATTTAGTGAATCACGATAAGTTTCTTACCAAAAAAAATAACAGCACCACAAAGTAAGAGCAAGTGCCACTACAATAACTTGGTAACAAATAAAATGAGAAATAACATTTACAAAAAATTGGAACCTGGATGATACAACCTCTGAGATTTGCTGACAGACAAATCTATGAAGGACCACAGAAACAGTGGAACCTTGATTTAATGAAGAGCCAAGGGACTGGGGAAAATGGTTTATTATATCAAGGTTCTGTAGCACACATTTTACTGTAACTTTAGCTGGGCCGAAACTGAAGTATTGTTTATTATACCTAGGACTTCGTTATATAGACGTTCGTTAAATTGAGGTTCCACTGTATTAAGTTGAACCTTGCTCAAAATTTCCATGCATTACATTAACTTCTGACTAGTGATGTCAGTAATATGACCTTCAATGTCAGGCTGTTAGGTTGTAAATTTTACCCACACTAGAGGCCAATAAAAGTATTGCTTTTCCCTTTCTACTTCTGTCAAAACCTTCACTTGCAATTAGCTAACAAAAGAATTTTACCCAATCTCTAAACAGAGAGAAATATTTAGCCTTTAAAGAGTTTTCAATCTTCAAACTAAGAGTTGGTTGATAGCAGTCATGTCTAGTTCTTATGCAAATTAAGATCACACAACATTAAGTCTGTACCAGTTTTTTCATATGTTTTCTGAGTTAAACAACATTTTTGGACTTCCTCGTGAAAGTAGTGGTGGCATTGTTGTAGAACAATAAGGTAAAAGGAACCACCAAAAGTTGCAAACTAGAATGCAAAATAATGTGTAAAGTAGTAAATTACTTCTTATTCATAGAAATTTAAAGTCTCAAATTACATGTAGTGATAATGAAAGTAAAGACTTGGGTGATTTGGGCAGATAATATTACCATCTATCTCTTCAAAAGATGTCTTCCATGAGGATCGTAAGTCTACATTTCCCACTAATATCTCATAACTTGATCTGTTCTGGAATTTTCCTCAAGTGAAAAAACGTCCTTAAAATAGATATTTACAAGCCATAGTAAAAAAACAATTTGCAAATCACGTTTCCTTTCCTTATACCAAAGGAACAAAATAAGCTGATGAAAAAACAAGCTCTGGTGGAGTAATTAAATACTCAAATTTTTTAATCAACTGGAGAGAAACCTGCAAAAAATAATTTGCATATTGGCCAAGGAACTGCATGTAAAACTGCGACGAAAACTATAATACAGGTATAACAGATACCACGCCACGAGGACAAGGTACACGTGCACAAGTGATGATGCCAACTCCAGGGCTCAGATCCAGCTTAAAACCATTTCCTGGTGTTAATAAAAGTTCCCAAATCATATTCGTCTAAAAATGAAAATGCACAATAAGCCGGTCAGATGTACAACCTGAAGGCTGATAGTGCAACTTGAAAGCCAGTCGAAATGAATGTCTATCGAGATAAGAATATCTATCGTTTCTCTTCGACCAGATGTTACAGGCACGGACAGAAACGATTCCACGAAAAGGAGAATAGAAGAACATTTTGTGAAAAAAAAAAATAACGATTTAGCTTTCGCTTATTCAGTGAGATTATTGATAAGAAGAAAGTATTTTACGTACCGACCGCCCGAAATAAGCAAGCACCATCTTGTGCCATTTTCTTGATAATGAAACCTTTCTTTTCTTTAAGAGCTTGCTCAAACTGCCTCTCCACCTTCAACGAATCAAATAGGATAAATCGCAAGAGTTAATACTCAACCATTTCCTCCAGGAGCGCAAGAACAAAAACGATACCAACCTCTTCGGTCGACAAAGGTTGGTCGGTTTGGGCACACTCGTATTCATCGGAACTGTTATTTCCTGCTTCTTCGCTGTGCCTTTCATGATATTTGTGGCGATGCGGAGGACTTCTATGCCTTCTTTTCGAGGTGTTAGAAGCTACATCAGCTGCCTCTCTACTCTCAAAACTATTTCCTAGATATAGCTCTTCGCCATGGCCAGAATACTCTTCGGTCGAGCGATTTCTTTCGGTAACGCCAGCGGATGAAGTCCAAGAAGAATTATTGCGTATCCGTGTTCTGTTGTCGTTGCTTGAACTTGTATCAGTCTTCTTGGATTCTAAATGCTTTTTCTTCGGTAAAATGGTCATGACGAGGCAGTAAAAAAAGCTAAAACAATGAAAACACCACAAGAATCCGAACCCATTCAGAGTGTTTTTAGAATTAGAAAATTTTGTGATCAGCGGCGTGACGTCACCAAATAGTATATGCGCACAAGAAATGCGCAAAGAAGAACAACCCCTGCAGGGCTTTGTGGATATTTAAGTTGGCTGGCATACAACATTATGGACAGCCCTACTCATGAATAATTTTCAATGAATATTGTACAAATGGTGCAGTGGTGGATACAGGGGGAGGGTCCGGGGGTTCCGGACCCCCCCCCTATCAGACCCGACGCTTACAACTTTGAGACTGAAATTCTTGCGTCGACAGGATCACTTTTTAACAGGCTGATTTTTTTAATGAATCCAAGTAAACGGTAAGCAGCCAAGGAATTTTAACGTGCAACCGCGACTGGTGGGAGGGGGTGTGGGGGAGAAGTAATTTGCCTTAAGAGTCCAACGGTCCTTCCTGAACCAAAGTTTGGACACCCCCAATCAAAAATTCCTGGATCCGCCCCTGTGGTGATACCATTCCCCTTTTTTCGCAAACATACGAGCGAAACTATTCGAACCCTAACAAAAGACCTAAAATTTATTTAATAAAGGTCGAATATAGGCTAAAGAGAGTCGGTAAGAGGTCTTAGTCGGTGGCGGTAAACCGTAACTGATGGTCCGATAGGGCTTTTTCGAATCGATACGATACCGAGTACGATGTTTACTTCTTTCTTCGATATCGATATCGATACTGTGACGTCATTGAAATAGATGGTGAGTTACGTGATCTGACTGACTAAATGAACTGAGACACTCTCGCACGGTTTTCTGTTCAGTTCTCTACAATAGCATCAACAAGACAGTCAAACAAGTCAAAAATTTCAATTTATTGTGACTTATTTTTAATTTTCTCGGTTACCTCAATAGAGCGCTAGACTGTTGTGTGGGAGGTCGAGGGTTCGAGTCCCGGCCGGACCAACACTCGA